ATATAGAGGAATGCAGAGGAGGAAATCTGCCAAACTTCTCATTCTACTAAAGCGAATACAAAACCACTGAATTCATTAATAAAGAAACATTTTTATCAGTAAATTTAAACCAAAATTAATTCATTACATAAACCAGAGGTACTAGATAAATATATAAAATATTATATTTTCCTTAGTGTAAGCAACAGATAAAACCAATTATGCCATATGATTTCTTTGTTTTATTCCAGACTTAAGCATCTATACGTTGTAATCAAATAAACATTTGAAATGCTAAAAACAAAACAGGTTAAAGTAAAAGGATTTTTTCTGAAAGCTCACACATAAATAAAACAATTTAAATAATCAATTTGATAATTCTCTGTTTCTATATATTTTTATATGTATTATAAATATTACATATAAAAATATATAGAAATATTAGGTGTTTTACAAATATCATTATTTTCTTTCTCTCTCTTTCTCTCTCATATATATATATATATATATATATATATATATATATATATAACACCCAGTGTTGAATATCGGCCAAGGAAGAAGTTTGGCCTCACTTCAGAGAGTGAGTGAAAATCGGAATGGGTGATAGTATAAACAGGAAATACATGCAGTTACTAAAATAAACAGGATGCATGAGTGTCTGAGTCTTGAATAACCAGGGCACACAGGTGTCCTGAGTGGAAGGGAAAATTATTTATTCTGCCATAAAATCAGATTACATTCTACCCTTATCTGCTGGCCACTCACTTTATATAGGAAATGAAGAGGCTTCAGACAGACCTTAACATTGACGACTGCATAAGCCCACGGACAATAAATAAAATAATACATATTTTTAATTCAGAAAATGAATCTGTAACAATCTACCCAAACAGAAGTAATATTGGTGTTTCTTTAACTACAAATTCTAAAACTAAGAGTTTTTCCAAACAGAAAAGAAAATATCCAAGACTGATTACAATAAGTGGATAATTTTTAATAAATTTTAAACAAAATGTTTGGAAGTAACTGATTTTGATAACCAGCTGATAACATTATCTGTGATTATAATAAACAGCTTCTTCAATATGCTGATGTAAAAAATTTTAATTACATGTTTTTAATAGTTATTAATCATTTGAATAAAAGATTAATTTTTTATAAACTGTCCGGCTTTCTTTAAAATAGACTTCTCTAAATAGTATGTGCAATAGACAAACCTAAAGGATTATAATATTTCATTTGTTTACACTTTTTAATTTTTAATTATTTTATACTACTAATACAAGTTTTTAAGATTAATTTTTTTCCTCTCACTTATGCTGCTAAAAGACATAAAAATAAAAAGATAATTGATAATGAAGGTTCTTTATTTAGTGAAATGATACTTAAAAAATGATTAAACTTATCAAATTCTGTCTAAATATTCTTTTAGAACATTTCTTTAAAACATAGCTTACCTATATTCTTTAGAATTATTTAACCTGGATTTTTTTCTTTCAAAATTCAGGATCCAGTTTTATTTAAAGGAACTCTTCGAAAGAATTTGGATCCATTCAAAGAGTACCAGGATGAAGATTTATGGAGAGCCCTTGAAGAGGTAGGCATGATTTGGCTTGTTCAGACTAGATTGTATTAATGTCAGATTAAGTATTAAGTTGCCTAAATTTCTGAGTATTATCCTGTCTGATGTTCTGGGACCAGGAGTTATCATTATTTGCATTATTTACAGTCAGACTAATATCCTCATCTTTGTTGTTATTGCCATAATGTTTCGGCTGTTTTACCCTCCAACCTTCTTCAGGTGTTTGTCAATCTGGGTAACTTTCAGGTAATTTTGAACTGAACCCTTTATTTTGAGATAATGATTTTTACTGATACAAGTACTACTAATTAATCTATAGCTGGAGGGAGAAGAGGTGGATCTGTACCTATTTGCACACTGAGTAGAATTGGAACTTGGCTATTTCAAAACAGCCATGAAATATGAATTTAAAGAATATTCCTACTTAACACTTCCCTCTTTTATTATCAGCATTTTTATTATTATTCTTTTTTTTTGTATGGGGGGGGGACAGTTTGCAATGAATTTATACAGAAAACTGAACTTCATTCTTGAAATTTAGGAAATTAAATTTCGTTTATATTCATGATGTGGAGAGATAAAAAAAAAATGGTATACAGGGAACAGATTGTTCTCATTCTACTGTCTATGTCTAAGGATATGATTTCTTTGTTTATGTGTCATGTTAATACTGTGATCACTTATTATTAGTCCTGTTTTCACTGAACCTGAGTTTATCTGTATTACCAAGCCCTGGGATTGAACTCACAATTACTCTGACACCAAATTGACTAGCCAATAATTTGATCCTCTGGTGGATTAAGGCTTTTGTTTGGTGGATGTCTGGAATGGTGTAATGGATAACGGCTCAGAATGAGCCAACTTCTAATTCCAGTCAGGTTTATTACATTCACTTACATACAACTAACCTTGGAAAAAATATGAATCCAGCTCTTCTCTTTACCAGCTATGGGTTGAATAGCAGGACAGACTGGGCCCTATAGGATTGTTTGGCAGCCTGTCTACTGCAGAAAGAAACAGTAACTTACTGCGGGAAACTCTGGCTAGTTAGTCATGAATTAAGATACATGATCACCCAAATCTGTATTACATATGGCACTTCACTGTCTTAATGAAATTGGTAGTACCTGAAAAAGCCTGAACCCACACATAATTCTTAGCTTAAAATTTTAGTCTTTCAAGGTTAGTCCTTGACATGTGTATTCAGCAAGTAAGTGAAAAAAAATTCTGTCTGAATTTCCAGGATGAGGAGTTATCATTATTTTAGAAATAAATACAATATGGGAGGCATTAATAAAGATAGAGACATGACAGCAAGGACTTGACAGCAGCAGCAGCTGCAGCAGAAAAGAGCAGCCTCCTGTGAGTGCAGTCTCATCAGCAGGCAGGCTAATTTTAAGGTTCCAAGTTCTCCACTTAGGAATGTCCCATGGGACTATAGCTTAGTGGATTAGCATTGGGTTATGAATTTGATAATTGTTAGTTTGGGCAGTGTGTACTTAGACTTGTGTATGATATACATATGTGTATACATACATGTGTGTGTGATATGTGTGTGTGTTTATACATATAAGAAATAGTTGTATGTATATATGTATATGAGTATACATAAAAAAAACTCTATGATGTGTATATTCATGTGAGTGTGTATGTATGTATGTATGGCCAGGCATATATTAGTGGACATATATATGTGTACATGTATGTACAAGTATGCACAAAAAAGGCTCTAATATATGTATATACCTGGGTGGGTGTGTATGTATGCATCTGTATATAAAAAAACAATCCCAAACAGCTCTGATATAGATAAAACAAACAGGTGGACACACTCGCTTATGATTGAACATTGGGAGGTGATAAGCTACGGTAATTTAATTTGATTTATGATTCCCATGTATCCTCAGAGATCCCAAGGCATGTTCCTTTCACACAGTTTTGTCTTTCTTTCATTTTAATCTGAGGAAGCCAAAGAGAGCATACGCTGTCTGTAGAAACATGTCATTAATAAATTTTCCACTTTCTCTCATCTTCACTTGGACTCAGTGGAAATGGAGCAAGCAATACTGAACAAGATGAGATACCCCCTAGACATGAATGGCAGAATAAAAAAAATCTACCCCCATAGACTAAATAAAGGGTTCAGTTTGAAATTCCTTAAAGGTTATCCAGAATGACAAACACCAGAAGAAGGCTGGAGATACAAATGGTCAAAATGTTGTGATAACAACTGTAGAGTAAGTGGCCATGATTAAATTTGTAAATGATAGAATTGTCCAACAAACAGAATTGACAAAGTTTGTAATAAAGAATAATAAAAAAAGAAAAGAAATAATATTGGGCAAGCAAACAATATATGTAAGACAGAGCAACAGCAATATGGCAAAAAGTACACAAACTAAGAATTGGTATTGACACACAAGGGTGGATACAAAGTTATGGCTTCAAGACAAGAAAGAACATAACTTAATCTGATGAGACAGAGAAGTGGCCTATCTTGTTGGCTTCAAAGAAATCCCAGCATGCATTTGTGTGCTTCTGCCTATAAATTGGGGAGGGAGAAGTATTTTGCAGTCATTCCTAACAATATTGGAATTAACATATCCATATATAATGTTCATTATTTATATTATTTAGTCAGACTAATTCTTTGATCTTTGTTGTTATTATCATGTTTCATCAGTTGTGCCCATCAGCCTTCTTCAGTCTAGGTAACCATCAGGCAATTTTGAACTGATCTCGTCATTTAATCTACAGAGGTATAAATTGTTCTCATTCCACTGTCCATGTCTAGGAATATGTTGGATCGCATTATTAGCAATGTAGAGTAAGTGGCTAAATATCAATGGCAGAACTGTGCAACAGAATTGACAAAGTTTGTAATAAACAATAACAAGAAAATAAAAGAACAATGCAAAAATAATATTGTGCAAGCAATCAATATATGCAAGACAAAGCAACATTAATAAGGCAAAAAGTTCACAAACTAAGAATTGGTGTTGACACACAGATTGGGATGGAGTCAGATGACACCAAGTAGTGGCCTATTTTACTGGCTAGGAAGAAATCCCAGCATGCTCTGTCTGGTTCTACCTATAAATTGGGGAGAGGGAAGTATTTTGCAATCATTCTTTGTCATACTGGAACCAACAAATGCAACTAAAATTAAGATGAAAGAAATACTTGTCAATAATTGATAATTGTTGACAATGCTTCAATTCAAGATATCACTTTAACTCTGCATTGGTCATATAGGGTGTTTTGTTACCCCCAATTTTTTTAAGTGCTTTTAATTCCTACTTTGCAACTTGTTTCTTTTTATCTCTCCCACTACTCTCCTGAATCAGTGAAGGTGTGTAGCACACGGTGTGACACAGTTGTAGCTCAGTTGTTGTGGGAAGCAGATGTCAAGAGAGTTGGACTAAGTCAGATGAGACTAATCTGTGTGGTTTAGCCTATAAATTGGGGAGGCGGGGAAGTATTCTGCAATGATCCCCAATTATGATTTGAATCAACAACAGCAAAAATGAGAACAAGATCTGCATGCAAATAATGTTAATGAAGAGGGAAAAAACTTGTTTCACATTAACCCACTATTTTTAAGTACATTTAATGTTTTATAAAAAAATACATTTATTCAAATATCATTTTTTTTTATTTTATTTGTAAGGTCCAAATGAAAGATGTCATCTCAGAATTGCCCAAAGGCCTGGAGAGTCAAGTCAACGAAGGTGGGGATAACTACAGTGTTGGTCAGCGGCAGCTGATCTGTCTGGGAAGAGCAATTCTTCGACAGAACAAAATCCTTATCATTGATGAAGCGACTGCAAATGTTGATGTTGGGTGAGGAGACATATTTAAGTTCCTTCAATTTGATTTTGTTTCTTAAATGTCATCGACTAAAATTGCACATGTTCGAATAATAATGCTGAAGGTGGGATTTTTGTTTAAACAGAACTGACGTCAATTGTGCTGATTTCCAACTCAACCAAAATAGATTCCAGATTTGAAAATAAATTAAAAAATCATGACAAAGAAAATTATTGCTAGAATTTATATGATATTTGTTTGAAAAGTATCCAGCCATTTTGAATCAAGAACTGGTTGTGCAGCCTTGATGCCACTTAGTAACCAATTAGATGAGACAACTTTACTGCACATGTGTAAACTTGTGCTGGCCAATATTAACAAGACTCAGATATGTAGCCATTTCTGAGGATGCACTGAAGCCAAGAAAAGTTTTATCTGGTTTTTTTTTGGTTTTTTTTATTTGAATAATGTTTTACAGTTCCCGTACAAGTGGACAAATGATTTTGTAAATATAGTAAGTTTTTTAAATTTCTATAGAAACACACATTTCCAAGAAATAATCATTTAAAAAAAACATTTTTTTTATTTAACTTTCATCTATGGATACCTGGGCTTTATGAATTTAAGCATACTACTAGATTGATGGCAAAGTCTCATCATTTTACAGTTGAAATGGCTAGATGTAACTGTAAGTTCTATGCTAACAGTTTCTTCTCTTGCACTTCTCACTTGTGGAACTCTCTTCTGGCTTCTTGTTTCCCCTGTCAACTTTGATCAATTCTTGTATTCTCTCCTTAATAGTATATTTTTATCATATTCTCTAGCACTCATAAGCCCCTTACATCTTAGCGGCTTTATTGCCTTGCTTGGGGTGAGATTATTAAAAAAGAAAAAATATTACTATTGTTTAATATCTCCAAATCATGAATATAAAAAAAAAAATTAATTTTTTAAATTTCCAGAACAAAGTTCAGTTTTCTGTATAAATTCATTGCAAACTTTTCCCCCTACACAATAATAATAATAATAATAATAAAAATGCTGATAATAAAAGAGGGAAGTAGTAAGTAAAAATATTCTTTAAATTCATATTTCATGGCTGTTTTGAAATAGTTAGATTCCACTTCCACTCAGTGTGCAAATACCCTTGGGAAAGGTATGGATCCACCTCTTCTCCCCCCAGCTATGGGTTAATTGGTAGAATGTGTATCAGTAAAAATCATTATCTCAAAATAAAAAATAAGAATTCTTAGAATCTAAAAAATATTTTCTGGCCTTAAATAACCTGCAAAAGGTTGATAAGCCATAAAAAAATAATCCTTTGCATTCAGTTATGCTGACTATTGCCAAAATTGATAGAATGGCCCCCAGGTTATCCAGTAGAAAACTCATAGCCCTTCATTAAAAGATTAATATAGAGGATATTTTTTCTTTTACATACAAAATGTATGCTGGATGTTGTACTGAATGGACATGTTTTCATTGCTCTGAGAAAGCAATATGTTTTTTTTTTAAGACGAAGTGACAATTATTTTTTATTTATCCATCTATTGTTATCTAAACCCTTTGTTCTAAACATTTATTCAACCCTGTTGAAAAATCAGCGCAAAAACAAATTTTTATAATTTTTTTCTTTGCATACACTGCTGGTGCTGCCCATTTGAATGTTTAATTTTACAATTGCACCTATTTTTTTCAAGTCTGTCTAATTCTTTGTTGACTTTATCCAATGCTGTGAACAGTACACTGCATTTTGATTTAAACACAAGTGTTAACCCTTTTTTCACTTGAAATTTTGCTTTGACTTTGGAACACTGACTGAACACATCCAACAGAACATCCAGAAAACATTTTTTCAATTCTTCCTTTAAATTTTCACACTGCTTTTTTTAAACTGGTAGTTTTCCCACTTACATTCTTACAATAAATATTTGTAGGTAAATCCCACAACTTAAATAATTCCATTCAGTCAGTACTGAATAAATTTGTAGTATTTTTTAGCACATAAGCCCTGGCTTTTACACACTTGTTACAGAATAACATGTTATAAGTCATTTAACCAACAACAAATAATTTCTCACCTGACACACCACATGTGTTTTTTGAAGATCTTTTTAATATTAGTTTTCCATTTGCTTTCCGTATGGTTTCGTTGATTATTGTAATATCACTACCAGTGTCTACTTTCATTTTTACATCCACATTATTAATTTTCACATACATAAATTTTCTTTTGTTTTCTGTAATTACTTTTCTATTGCAATGTTGTGTAATACATTTTTTCTGTGAGAACTTTTCCTTGATTTAGTACTACTGTGTAACTTTTTATGTCCTACTTTTCCACACTTGTAGCACTTTGAATTCTTAAAGAGACAGTTGTTTCCGGTATGTAACCTTCCACATCTGAAACATGGATTAATTTTTCTTTTTCCACATTTTTATTTAGCCTGTATGTATGCAAATTCTTTTTCTTCAATTTTGTATCTCAGATTTAGGATTCTCTGACATTCATTTGATATTTCTTGTAGTATTAATTTTTGATTCTGTTCAAGTTTTGTTAGAATTCTGGCATGTATTTCTGCATCTTTTTTGCTGCTAGCCCTTAAATGAAAATTAACCCTTTAAAAATATCTGGAATCAGTTCAATTTAATTTGAATCTTTCACACTCCTTGTTACTGATTCCAGCATATATGACAAAATCTCCATTTTCTTTTTTCATCAGATTCATATACTTCCAATGAGTATTGAATAATGAATTTTTCTCGCTAAAAATTTTAGTCAGAATATTTAGTGTTTCTTCAAAGCAAATTTCTCCTGTTTTTTTTTTTCGGTAGTACAAAATTACATTATTTTTTATGTTCTACTTGTAGCGATATGTAAATGAGGTACTGTATAAAAGGCAGTATAACTATACTTATGGCAGAGTTATATTCTCTTAATGAGAATACCTATCATAACAATATGAGGTCACCAATATGTTGCTTAACCACAATGGAGGTTCCTGAATATATTGAAACCTGGCTTAGGTGTTTCACAATGTCGGCAAGAGTGAAAAAGTTAAAGGACACTAAAGCTAGCAGAGGAAAAAATGAAGTTACGGATTTGTTTTTAGCCTCAGTAGGGTGTGAGGCCATAAAAATCTCTGTCATGGTCTATCCCAAAGTGTTGTAAGATTTAGCCTATAAAGAAATCGCTGCCATCATAAAAGCAAATATAAAGTAAAAAAAAAGATTGGTTATAACAGAAAGAACTAAATTTCTCAAAAGTAAAAGATAAAACTATTATACCATATGTACAGCACTTGAAAGAAATGTTGAGATTTTGTGAGTTTGAAAGAATGGATTCAGAACAAATGTCTGTTGATGACAAGCTAATTTTGCTCAGACTGATTGAAGGAATGCTTGACATCTCATACAAGCATAAAATTCTAGAGTGACTTCAAGCTTATAATATGAATCTGGAAGTATGTGTGGAGTTTTTACAACAATTGGAATTGATTTAAAAATTTAATGCCTCCAAAGTCAGTATAGAGACTTATAGTGCTGCTAAAAGCTTACTTATATGCAGATATTGCAATAAGGAACATGAAAAGAGTAAAAATAAGTGTCCGGCATTTGGGAAATGTTGTTTTAAGTGTAAAAAGAGGAATCATTTCCAGACAGTATGTACATATGAAAAGTGGAAAATATAGATCCTCTGATTGAAATAAAAGTACAGGACAAAAGTAGGGAAATAGTGAAGTTGAACAGAATAACTTTACTCATGCAGGTGGATACTAGAAGTGATGTTATACTAATACTGAGGAATTTTTTGGGAAAGAATGGGTAGACCAAAGTTAAAGAAAATTAATCTCCAGTTGAAACAGTTTGATATATTAATCATCAACTTTTTAGGATGCTTTGAAGGCACGTTTGAGACAAAAAACAGATTTGAGATAATATCCTTCATAGTTGTGGAAAAGAGAACATGAAGTTGAGGAAGAGGAAACAGAAGAACAGACGATGGAAGAAAGGATGAATGAATCCAGTATTGAGTGATCAGGAAGACCACCAGAGATATGAAAGTGAAGAACAGAAGAGGAAGGAGAGAATGAGTTTTTCCAGTAGTAATGAGGAACAATCTGGGGATGAGAGTGACAGGAGGTATCATGATAATTCAAATGAGGAGAATCAGTTAAGGCCTAGATCTTCTATAAAAAGAAAGAGATTCACTCTGAGAGACAGATTATGTCTCCCAGATCAATTAAAGGTATAAAGCCTCTGAGGTTCAGGGAGGTGTAGTGATATGTAAATGAGGTACTGTATAAAAGGCAGTATCGCTATACTTATGGGAGAGTTATCTTCTCTTGATAAGACTACATCTGTCAGATAGAATACCTATCAAAACACTACTGGTCCTAAAGGGTAATTCTATCATTTGAATTGTATGTGAAATCAGATATGGCATTTGCCACTGTATTTTCTTCTGTATTATTTCAATTAAATTTTGTTGCTTCTGGACTTCCAATAACTGCTGTTGTTGCATTTTTACCACTTGGGCTAATAATTCTTCCATGTTTAAATAATTGCACCAAAGCAAAAAAAAGTACTATTTCCTACCCCATATGAGTTTTGATCCTTTGTTGCCACTGTTACTCCACAACAAATTCCAGTCAAGTTTGTTACATTCACTTATGCGCAAACACCCTTGGGAAATGTAGGAATCCATCTCTTCTCCCCGCCAGCTATGGGTTGAATAGTTTAGGTCCTATATTCTTGGTTGGCAACCAGCCTACTGCAGAAAAAAAGGCCACCTACTGTGGGAATGTCTTCTGTGTAGTCAGTTATGAATCAAAAGAGACATAACTGCCCAAAATGTATATCACATAGGACTTAACAAACATAGCATATATCACTTGTTTTCTTTTAGAAATAGGTATTATTTAGTGAGTTTACAATATTATGAATGTTTAATATATTATCATGAAGAATTATTATTATGAACAGTTAATACATTGTATGTACTAAATAATTTAAATATAACTAATTATATTTTATTTATATTTTAATGTAAAATTTTTATGAAAGTGAGTGTATTTTTGAATTTATAGGAAAAAGCATTTTGAATCATAACGTTTATTAAATTTTGTTTATTTTTTACTAATTGTTTTATATAAGGGAATTTCCCCCATTATTTATCATTCAAACAATTTTAATGATAACAATAATAAAAAAAATGGTCTTATATATATTTGACTATAATTTTAAACTATCATATATACATAATTACACGCACACACACATATATATATGTATTATAAATTGTTACTTTAGAAAATGTAAGTTACTACTACAAAATTGTACATTTTACATGTTCTAATGTAACAATTTATAATAAATATTTATTGCTCTATTCTTGTATTGAGCCCTGTTTTAAATTAATGTTTTGAACGTTTGAATTTTATTCTTCATTCTTTTACATTTTGATAGACAACAGAAATTATGATAATAGTAAGAATAAGTGGCCATTTGACAACGATCTCTTCACTCAGTAAAACCCTTGCATCTTAATGGCTTTAATGCCTTGCTTGGGGTGAAATGATTCAAAAAATACACATCTTGTAGTCTACCAAAAGAGAAACAGATTTGAAATGTTACAACTTGTGAATATTAAGAATGTGCTTGTAATTCAGTCTGATAAGGACATTTCCAAAACTTTTTTTCTTTTTCATTGCAGAACTGATGCATTAATTCAGAAAACCATTCGAGAAAAGTTTAAACATTGCACTGTCCTGACCATTGCACATCGTCTTGTTACGATCATGGACTCTGATCGTGTTCTGGTGAGTGTTTTTGTTAAAACTTTTGCTTTGAATTCAATTTACTATTTTGGTAGACATGAAAAAAAAAATGAATAAATACATTTTTATGTTTCTTTGCAGCTACCAAAGTTACGTTTTTACTGTCTTTCGTTTAACTTATTTAGTTTGTCACTCCTTTTTTAAGGTGGGAAAATAAAAAGTTGCTTTTTGTATAAAAAGAAATTAATATTTTGATCACAAGAAAAAATACAAGAATAACTTTTCTAGTAGTTCCATTTGCTAGAAAACAAAAAAAAGAGTACTGAACTGTTATGTGAGATTGGATGCTTTGAGGAGCATGGAACCACCTTTTAATTGCTATTGTTCCTAGGTCCACCTTGTTCCAGGATGGTAGCACCTGTTAGGATCCCAGCAATGGGCAAAATAGTTAACCCTCAAAATGGGGTCAAAACACTATGAAAATATAAAAATAGATTTTTATAGTAAAAATACCAGCAGTACATATTTTAAATAAAATATTCCCAGCAATACATTTTTGATAGTAATGTTAACACAAACATGTATATGCACAAAAGATGAGTATCATCTACCATATATACAATTGTGAAAGCAGAATAACATTACTTTAAAGCTCCCAAGAAAATTAAATTTCAGCATCAAATGACCCATAAGGAATTGATATGCTGTTAATCAAATCAAATTATGACTAGTTGTTTATATAACTTTTGATATCATGGGTAGGATTTAGTAAAAAAATTTGTGAAAACTTGTATTCACTTGTATTTCATAATGATTCAAAATTCTGACAAGTAAACAAATAAAACAAACTGTAAAGTTGTGCTTTTGTACAAACTGCATTTGAACCACTGCCTGAATTTCTAGAATGAGGAGTTATCATTATTCACACCTGGACAATATGAAACAATAGTCCAAGTGTAAAAACACTTGAACCTGAAATAATGGAGAAATGTTTTCACTTTTCATATCATTTTGACCAGAAAATGGAAATTTCTATTGTTTTTCTAATTACTTGAATAATTTTTGTGGCTGTATTTTTGTTTATGTATGTTTTTTAGGTACTGGATAATGGTGAGATTATGGAATTTGACAGTCCACACAATTTGCTCCAAGACACTAAGGGCTACTTCTACAAAATGGTACATCAAGGCGATTCTTCTGAGATTGAATACTTAACATCAATTGCCTGGCAAGCAGCACAAAGACAAAAAGAATTCTCATCAAACAAGACTCATGAACCTGTAACGCATTTGCTCCAACAATCAGACAAAGACCTTACTACAAGTGTAGCATCACTCACAATTTAGATTGTATCTTAAAAGACATTTGTTTGAATATGCTTTACAAGGCCATTACTTTGGTTTTATAAATGTATTTAAAAGAATTCAGAAAATGAGACATGAATGAAAATAAGACTTATTTTTAAGGACCAGTTGACTGGAAATACTTATAAAAATTTTTTATCTTTTGTTTGATTAAAAACAATCAATGGGACTAGAAATAAAATAGATTCTCTTGCAAAGCAAAGATTAATCAAGCACAAAGAAATGGTGACATGTTGATATTTGTAGAGATGATTAAAGTTCTCTTAAATTGTCTACTTTTCAATCAACATTTCTAAAAGAGGTTTGTTGACAGATGTATGGCATATCAAATGTTGAAATGCTAATACAAATAAAAACATCATAAAAAAGCATTTCTAAAAGATTTCTCGCTCTTTTTTTTTCTTTTGCAATGAGAAGAAAAAAGAAACAACTTTGCCATACAGGATAAGAAGTTGGCCAATTCCTCAATGTTTCAATGAATAAGTCTTTCTGTTTATCAAGAGATGGCTGTCATCTTAAAATGTCTTATAATGGACACAGATTCCTAGATTTTCAGGTGAAGTGACAAATATGCAATACTCAAGATTTTAAACCACTCATTTGAAAACAAAGTGGATTTATCAAAGAGGTTTTGACAAAATGCAAAATCTGAAATATTCTGAGTGTGGACATTTCTAATCCATAATGGAACAGACTACTCAGCCCTGCACTCCAATCTCTGTGACATTTGCCTATAGTAACCAAATTCACACTGGCATGTGAAAGAATATCGAAGGGAACATTTGGGGAAGAAAGGGACACAATCCTTGCAAATTGAAGAAAATGCCTTCCTAAGCAAAAATTCAAAAAGTAATAAATGATAGACTTAGTAATTTGCTAGAAATACTGACAGCTAACTTTGGCCAACTATAACAATTTATAATATATAGGACATTTAGTTAAAGCACATTTTTTACTTGTCACAAAAAGAAAAATTTTCTTCTTGATACATTTTTCAACAACATGGGGGATGTTGTAAAAAATTTTATCTTATCAAAGGGAAAAACCATTACTTAAAAAAATCTTTTAAAATGTTTTTGTTTTTATTGGTGAAAGGAGTTTAGCATTTGTTATTTTTTACATCTGTCAACAATCCTCCTTAACCTTTATAACTCTGTATGTGATTTCATTTGCCATACAAAATGTTTATCCTGACACTTAAGGTGACCTGATCCCTGAATTTGAATTTCATAGATGTGTTGTCATATCCTGCTATGGCAACAGAAAACAACTTTGAGTAAAATTAACAGTAAGTATACTGCTATTGGGAGGCATTGAAAAAGAATGCAGTAGAAAAGGGAAGTAATATTAATAAAGGTTAATAAATGTTGACTGAAAATTAGACAACTTAAGACAGTTAAACAAGAAATTTTCCAAACATCTCCACTTTTTTGTTCTCTATTATTTGTTTTGTTCTACCAAAATTTTATTAAAGCAATGATTCAAGGTCAGTTTTTTTTTTAATGAGATGTGGTATGAGAAGCAACACCTTGTGGAATTTTAAATTCTAATCATGATATGTAAATAATTATCAAGGCACTGAATTACAGTGTCCTCATTAATAAAATAGAATTATTTGAAAGAAAATATTGAAGAACATTCTGGATATCTGTCTATATTTCTGAGATGATGTATTGTAACTATTTACATGATTTACATTGTTCAGAGTGTTGTGCTCATCTTCATTGTCATATTCATGACATTTCAGCCATTCCACACACCAGCCTGTTTCAGGATTTGTCTATATTTTTAAGAAGAGGTATTGTAACTATTTATACAATTTACATTGTTCAGACTGTTGTTCTCATCTTTATTGTCATATTCACAACATTTCATACGTTGTACACTCTGGCCTTCATTTTTTTTTAAAGAGATGTGGTATCAGAAGTAATACCTTATGGAATTTTAAATTCTAATCATGATTCGTAAATAATTATCAAGGCACTGATAATTCTTGTTAAATAATGTTAATTGATAAAATAGAATTATTTGAAAGAAAATATTGAAGAACATTTTGGATGTTATTCAAAAACAAACTAGTTACTCTGCACAGAAAAAAATGTACAAAACAATGTTGTGTGAAAAAAATCATCAAGATGATGTTTGGAAAGTGCTGTTTAAAAAAAACCCCAAAAGAACAGAATACCTGTTGAATGTCATTATTTACAAACTAAATAATTCACCAATAATCTCTGTCTGAATTTCTGGGATGAGGAGTTATCATTATTTACATGTGGACTATTGTCCTCATTTTTGTTGTTGTTATTACATGTTTTATCTGTTGTGTCCTCCTGCTTTTATCAGTTGTAGGTCAATTCCCTGTAGGTTATCCAGATTAACATATACCTGATGAAGGCCAGGGGGCACAGTGACCGAAATGTTATGATAACAACAATAAAGATGACGACAATAGTCAACATGTAAATAGTGTAAATCAAGATAACCTTTACACACTTTATTAATAGCAGCTCTGGAATTATTTAAAAGCTAATTAATCCATTAAAACCTGAGACCTGATGACTTGTCATTATCTCTGGACATATTGGGTCAATATCCAAACTGTCCAAGAACCTGAAATTAATTTTGTATTTAAGACCCCCCCCACCTCAAATCCACTTGATACAGGTTATTTTTTTAAAGAGTCAAGTTAAACCAGTCTGTCACTTTTAACATTCATTTCATGAAAATTCCAATCACTTTCCCAGCAAAATGAGGCAGAAAAATCAACTATCCACAACTGATCCTCTAAAAACAAATGCTTAAACATATGCGAGTTTTGATTAACTTCAAATGATCATAACTCGACAGATGCCTGGTGTTGGGACAAAATTAGACCAATTCTGAAATCCGGAAACTGTATATTTTCAGACTAGATACAACACATATCACATTTGGAAAATGTTCCAAAAATGCCAAATGTCTACTTATGAGTCCACTCTGTGTATGATAAAATTAAAATAAATAACATTTAGAGTAATAAGGAATAAATAATGCATTAAACTTAATAAATGGAGATATTTTTAATTCTTTTGCAAAGTAATATTTAAAAACTAAGCAATGCATACCTTGCTTCTAAGAAATACATGCCACATATGTACATATAGCAATGAATATACATACATGCCACTAATATATATATATATATATATATATATATATATATATACACACACAGACTCACACACACAGTATTTAAAAAATATAGACATATTTTTTTAGTTAATATCAACAATGTTTATTACCTGGAAGTTAATGAAATTTTTTTATAATAAAGATTAAAAATTCTTTTTCCTGTCTTATAATACTTATTACATTTGCATACATATTTCATATGCTAAATGTAACAATAATTATGGGATGGCAGTTATAATAAAGTCTAAAAAAGAAAGATTTCAAATATTTGACTGATAATTTATTTTAAGAATTCTAAATGTACATAAAGTTTTCAGCTGATAAAATATGTTGACATTTTTTGTACATACATTTTTTTTTTCGCTGAAAGAGAATTACTGCATCATTATGAAAACTTTATTTATTTTTGTTTATTAAAACATTCTTTACTCTGAAAGTGTTTAATTATGTTTCAGGTCCTGAACATAGCAGCTATAAATAAAGTCACTGTACAATTTTTGGAGACATTGAGTAAACAATTTTCAAATCGAGAAATTTTTTAGACATAGTTTTTCACTATGTAAATACTTTTCATTGGTTAAATACTTAAAACTCTGCAAATTGGAAATAATGCATTTATTTTTAATTGGTAAAGCATTTTATATTATCAAAGGAAAAGATGTTATTGGCATGTGTGTAGTCTATTTATACAAACAGATTGTTCTGTGTTTGTGTGTCAGTGTGAATAGCTTGTTTTTTTTTAATGTGATTTAAATCTTGAATTTAAAATTTATTTTAAAATTCAAAAATTTCTATAAAATACAGCATTTCCATATCTCTACTTCCAGAAATGCTGTTTATGAATATGCAAATACATTTAGTTATATGCAACTCATTTCCATGTTGTTCAAATTCATCATCATGTTTGAAAATTATATACTTGGTCACCTTGTAAGGTTTCCTTTCTTTTTTTTTTTTTATAATATTACACATCAGCTCAGAACATGATCATAGTTAATTGAAAAAACTAAGCTTAAAATGTTATTATAACTTATGGAAGATTATTGATAATTGTCTCAGCATCTCAAGATTGTTTTGTTTTTATTTGGTTTTCAATTTTAAAGAGTTCCAAAATATCAAATCCTGAAAAGAGATATTTTTGTGATAGACTACCTCTGCCCCATAATAATACACAAAATGTATCAACTATTGTGGGACAGAGATAGTAATTGAAACTCTATTTTATATTTGTATTCATTAAAGCAAGTAATTTGTTTAACTGTATTAATGTAAACAGTATTTTCATATTTTAACTACACATCTTTCTGAAGTCTGTTTTAACCGATACTTTCTTTTTCCTCCCCATATATCTAAACTATGTTTTTGGAAAGTGAAAATTTCAATAAAATATGTTGGAATATAATACAAAATGTAAGCAAAATGGTTTGTATTCAAAAAAGGTATTAATGTTTACAATAAATAGACTCAAAGCAACCGAAATATGATTCTACAGAAGTATGCTGAAGATAGCATAGACTGATTATGTGAGTAACAACAATGTTTTAGAGAATATGGAAACAAAAAGAAACTTATACTTAACATCAGGAAAAGACAGTTGAAATTTCTAGGACACATAATGAAGAAAGAAGGCTTGGTAAATCTGATACACACAGGACAGATTGAAGGCGAGATTCCAGTTTTGCAGCAGAATCTTGCATATTGCACTAAGAAAGATGTGATCAGTGTAATATCAACACCAGTGTTACAGTGGTTTCAGGGACTGGGCAATTTTTATCCTTCACCCATATGCATGCATATTGGACACCCTGACA